TATTATAGTTATTGCCAATAATTTATCATTGCAGTGGTTATTGTTTATGGATCCTGCTATATTTTAGTTTGAACTTTTATTTTTGGACTCCTTCAGTTTGGCCAGAGAATATAAGTAAGCTATGACTGTGTTCATGCATCAATCGGTGTATGTTTCTTGGATGTTTGCGTTGACTAAAAAACAACAAGATTCTCAGCGATAGTACCAGCCTAAGCAGGAAGGTTATCCCTCGATTAAAGTTCAAATTTCTAGCCCATAAAGATTTAGGATATATAGTGAAGCATGGTTAGTGTGCATCTTCTCGGTTTTCAGTTATTAGCTCAGCTGACGAGGTCAGATGCAGCTTGTAGAATCGCATGAATGTCCGTCCGTCGTCTGTCCGTGCGTCAACAGTTATGGCACAATCTTTATTAGCAGTTCAGAGATTCATCAAAGATGCTATCTGTTTTTGTTTTTGCAGGTATTGTGGGGAAGCTGGCTGTGATTGGTCAACACAGCCGCTTCTTCTTTTGCCGGCGCATACGGATACTGGGAATGTGTTTAAGCTGATCGGTGAGAAGTATGGTCCACTTGACGTCGCAACGATACCCATAGGAGGTTACGAGCCTACGTAAGCAAGCCCCGTGAGATCATAGCATCATAATCGTAGCTGCTATCTGTAGACAAATACATACCCGCTTGGAAAATACATGAAAACATTTCATGTTTCCTTTTATATGTCTCATATATGTGTCCTGTATATGTATATGTTTATTATGTATATGTATTATTATATATATACATATTATATTATATATATGTACAGACATATTATACATGTCTCGATGTATATTGCTGAATATGTATTGTATATGTATAAGCATAATGTATCTGTATATAGTATAAGTTATATGTATAATGTATGAATATGCTCATATATATTTAGTCTAATATGTATATATGTATATTGTATACTAAGAATGTGCTCATATATATAGGTATAAATATATAATATGTGTATATATATTAAGTATAAAAATGTCTCATGCGGCAATATGTCTCAATTGAGTCAAATCGTGTACACACGTTAATTAATTTAAGTGTTAATTCGGATAATATGATCATCATTTTTAATTTATAATCATTAAATGTTACCATATATATGAAAAATAAAGATTAACAGAAATTTAAGTAATAGTGGTGTCATTAATCATATTACAATATTATTATTATTATACGTTATTATATATCATTATCTTTATTGTCTTGTTTTAGTCGCGTACATGTGTCCCAGCACATCAATCCAGAAGAAGCCGTAAATATCCACATGATATCAGAGCAAAGCAGTCGGCCGCAATCCTCTGGGGTACCTTTAATTTTAGCAACGAGGTAGGCCTACATATAGCAATGTGTGATCATACAAGATTTTATATAAGTGCCGTTTCGTCTTTATGGCTTTACAACTGATTATGAATTTATCCAATTAATTTTACCAACGAGAGTACATATAGGCAATGTGGTGATTATATGTGAGTTTACTAGCATGCTGTTCTCTTCTTAACGGCTTTACAACTGATTATGAATTTATCCAATTAATTTTACCAACGCGGTGCATATAGCAATGTGTGATCCTACGTGATTTTTACTAGCGCTGTCTCTTCTTTCGGTTTATATCCGCTTATAAATTCGATCGCCAACAGCGACAGGAGTACGTTAAATTATTAAAACAGCAGACTAATTATTGAAATTATGACGACAACGATTGATGATGATGCAAGGACATCACAAGAACATTACGTGCAGTTTACCATCACATAACTGCATATATAGCATCTTCACTGACACCACCCCTGACACAGTTAAAATTATTTAAGTTAAATAAATAACAGTTAAATGAATAACAGTTAATGATATAACAGTTAAACGACTTAAGTTAAATGGCTTAAATGAGTTGAGTGAGATGACGGAATCGATCGCTGACCTGACTGCCTTGTGTTTTTTCCCCGCAGCGTACGACAGCCGGTGAAGGCTTGCACGCGGCTCGCGCTGACAAACTGGACGACGCGACGTCGTTCATCGAGCTGAAACACGGAGAGACGAAAAAAACCATTTCTCGTCACGGCGGAAATACGGAAGTCCGGCCTCTACACCGCGTACGCGACAGAAGACGCAGATGAGAGGAATCCCCGACGAATGGCGTCCCTCTCTCAAGCATTAACGAGGCGAATCGTTAGCGTCCCCTCTCTGAAGCGTTAACGAGCGAATCGTTAGCGTCCCTCTCTGAAGCGTTAGTTTGTTAACGAGCGAGTCGTTAGCGTCCCCTCTCTAAAGCGTAGTTTGTTAACGAGCGAGTCGTTAGCGTCCCCTCTCCGAAGCGTTAGTTTGTTAACGAGCGAATCGTTAGCGTCCCCTCTCTGAAGAGTTAGTTCTTTAACAAGCGAATCGTTAGCGTTCCCTCTCTGAAGAGTTAGTTCGTTAACGAGTGAAACGTTAGCGTTCCCTCTCTAAAAGTTAGTTTGTTAACGAGCGAACGTTAGCGTCCCCTCTCTAAAAGTTTAGTTTGTTAAAAAGCGAATCGTTAACGTCCTGTCTCTGAAGAGTTAGTTCGTTAACGAGCGAATCATCTATTCCGCTCTGTGAAGCCTTAACGAGCGAATCGTCTATTCCGCTCTGTGAGGCCTTAACGAGCGAATCGTCTATTCTGCTCTGTGAAGGTTTAACGAGCGAATTGTCTATTCCGCTCTGTGAAGCCATAACGAGCTAATCCCGTCCCCTCTCTGAAGCGATAATTATATATAACGAGCGAATCGTCTTGTCACGCCGTCAACTTATGCTGGGTCTACACTACCGACTTTGTGTTGGCGAATTGGCGAGTTGGACCAACTTCCCAATTTGGCAACTCCGAGCGTTGAACGTGTTAAATGACATTTACGTAGATCTGTAATCAGACGCAATTCATAAATATAGAAAATTGGTATATCAAAGTTCTGGGTGTGATACGGGCAAACTGTGAATATAAGTCTAAGGTCTCTGTCTTTTATATGCTAAGAGTGTCAGGAAATATATCTTTGCAACATTATCTTTGCAACTGACTTTATCTACGTGTGTGCGTGTGCAGACCTCACTAGATAGCCAGCAGTCCTTTCTAAAATCATTGGAGGACAAGGGCAGACAGCTACTGCAGTGGCTGCAAAAGATGGAAAAGACTCTGATCACAGCATCAGAACCGAAGGACACTCTGGACAGCAAACGCAAAGCTCTACACAACGTCAAGGTGAAGTCAAATATCTATTTGTTCAAAGATTTTTTAGAGATATTTTCATTGTGTGTGCGATATCTGTGAGCAGATGAGTCGGTACGTGACACTGCTTTGTTCATATAGAGCATCCATGAGACAGTGCTGTCAGAGCAGACGGCGATAGCAGAAGACTACGTGGAACAAGTGATGCAGGCTGGCAGTGAACAGTTGTCTGATCTAGCCAGCACACTGATGGACAAATATACCGCAGTAGTGCAGAAGTGCCAGGTGAGATCATTGCGTTTGGCCCTGCGGAGGCGAGTTGCGCCAACTTTAGTTGTATCTTTGTTTTTATTTCAGTTTCACAAAGTGAGCTTGAAGCAATGCCACAAGCATCAATTTTTAGAAATATTTCTGAAATAACAACTGCCTAAGGTGGTTACGTTTAAGATAGAGAATATAGTACATTGAGCTACGTGTATATATAGATGCCGAACACTCGTTTTTGTAGTACCTTAGTAGTTAAAAGCTTTCTGTCATCAATCTCATATACACATGACAGAGAAGAATGATTTAATTGAAGATTTTTTTGCTTTGGTTATAAGGCCCCATGAACGCACACATATGTTTGCAGTAGCAGTGCGAGGAATGGCAAAGCAATATGATTTGTCGTTGATCTTTGTAGAATCACGAGCAATGCTGCATGGATATAGTGGAGGATCACGTGCAGTATACCACCTGCAGACACAACTGTGAGCTGTGGATGTCAGACATGCATGACCACATAGTCGCCTGTGAGCATCCAGCACCAGGCCTGAATGGGGTGCAGGAATCACTGGACAAACTAAAGGTGAGGTGGCAGAAGAACAGCTATGAATTTAGTGTTACTTTGCATGTGATAAATAATATTACTAATTATTGTATAATCAGGAATTTTGGAAAATAATAATTGCACCACATTAAATACATATCACAATGGGAGCATCTGTCTATTGATGATAATTCTCATAGGATGCACTTCATCATGATATTTTCACAGGTAAAATTTTACTCAGTTATGTACATTAAACCATAAAATTACTATGGTAGTACATAATTACCATGTGTTTCACATAATACCTAGGAGCTGTGCGCATCTGTGGAGAGTGGAGGTGCCACTCTACAGGAGGTCGAAATGGCAGCAGATAAGGTTCTGCCCAACACGGCATCACACAAGCAGGAGGCCGTCAAGTCAGAGATGTCACGTCTAAAAGACAAGTACACGGAGCTGAGCAACACTGCTACTGAGGTTACACAGACGCTAGGTAGGTGACGATTTATAGCTAGCCATTGATAGATGGTTACTTCATCAGAGATTTATACATACATGTGTAAAACTGTTGAATTATGCTGGTCTCAGTGTGTAATGATGATGCCATCACCGGTACGTATCATTAGAGGTCTTCTATTTGGGTGTGTTCACCCTGCCCATATATTTCTATTTAATTTGTAACGGTTTTAGAAAAACATTCAGTCTCTGCTGTAAATATTTTAACAGCATATAGAGGTCATTCTGTTACCGTATAAGACGTACATTGTGGCGCTGATGATTATTTGTAATTGATGTGGCATTCCAGAATTGAGAAAACAGCAGTGGGTTACCTTTACCACAATATACGAGTCATTCAGTCAGTGGTTGGCAAGCCAGGAATTGAATGCCAGCAAGTGGGGCGAGTTGCGTTCTACGCTGGAGGAAAAGAAACAGCTGGTAACAACACTGCACAATGCGATAAACGAAATCGAGCAACAAGCTGAGCAATTGGCTGAGGTTAAGAATGCTGCAGCCGCCTTCCCCGAGGAACGAACGGTTACGACACAGGTATATGTTATCACTTTTCACTTCTCTCATTTATGTTCCCTCCTCACTGACTTCTGTTTCTGCTGTGAATCTGATGCAGTGTAACAATTATGTAAATCTTGCAAACTGGTAATATTTTGGAGAACGATTCATTTCTGTTCAATCCCGCTCAGCCCTGTAATATTAACTAAATCCAAAGCAATACATCATTGTCTTGTTAAAAATTTCAAAATCTTCCTTGATCCATGATACTCACTAGATGTTGATTCTCTACTAAATAGGAAATAAAATAGGACAAAATAGGATGTAATAATGCAGGACTAAGAATGCTAAATAGGACTGTTTCAATGCTGTATTGTTTTCGTCGAGAATGTGGATGACCTGCAAACAATTAAATATAAAAGCGACTCGTGTTTGGTAGATGACTCGCGCCAGCACTCATTATGAGAAGCTGACGGACACAGCCCAGCAGCTGCTGCAGACGAGTGAGACGCGAGCAGACGAACACGATGCCTACCGCGTGACGTTCGGTGCGTGCCGGCAAGCACTGCAATCAGCAGTAGATCAGCTCGCTAAGAGCAAGGATGTCACGGGAGGCAAGGACACGCTACATGAGAAGTTGTCAGTAGTTGAGGTAGGTTTGGACTCATCGTTGCGTGCTGTCACGTACAAGATACAGGATAATTGAATAATTTCATTGGTTCTCTGTAGTTCACATAAAAAAGACCTGAGGAAGTCTTATCGGAGAGATGGACGAAAAGTTCGTCGTTGTAAGTATTTATAACTTATTATGGATCTAACTGAGATAAACTTTATTTTTATAAAGATACAGGATACTTTACAGATTACAGGATTTAACAGGATTTTCTTACAGGGTAGTTTGCAGTTGATTTACTTTGTCTGTTGTTAAGACTGTCGGTCTGTTGTGAAGTGTCACTCAATTATATTTATTCGTGACTTACCTTGAGGTAAATCACGGCTGCAGTTAGAAAGAAGGTTAGTTGTTTGCAGTTCTGCTACGGTGATACCTAGTTATTCTCAGTCTCATACTTTACGGATATTTTTTCCCTCAGGCTTTGGAGCAGGATAAGCCTTCCCTTCAGGATGCGGTTAACGACACCGTCAGTCAGGGTGACAAGGTCATCACGAATACAACTCATGATGGCCAGGAGATCATCCAGAAAAAACTAGCCGAGCTAAAGACAATGTGGTCTACTTACTGCAGCACTATTATTGAGAAAAAGGTGATTTTTGTGACTCATTCGACAGTCTTTATCTCTCTCACATTGGACCAACTTCCCAATTCGGCAACTCCGAGTTGGCGAAAATAGAACGTGTTCTAATCTCCCAACTAGTTGCTATCGATCGGTTGGTCGCACAACTTTTGCGTTTACACTGACGATTATTGGCGAATTGGCGAATTGGACCAACTTCCCAACTATACAACCGAGACTTTGTGTTGGCAAAGAAGGTCCGGATTCGTTACCGATGCTACGGACAGGAAAATTTTCATCTCTCCGTCTTTCAGCTTGGTGAACGACGTCGCGTCGGCCAGTTTGTCAGCACGAGCCGCGTGCAAGTCCTTCACCGGTTGGTCGTACGGCTGCAGGGCAAAAAAACACAAGGCAGTCAGGTCAGCGATCGACTCCGTCATCTCACTAAACTCATTTAACTCATTTAACTTAAGTCGTTTAACTGTTATTCATTTAAGTGTTATTCATTTAACTTAAAAATCATTTAAGTAAACAGTAAAACCAATTGAGTACGCTGCATTCGTGCGCACGCGCAAACAACCGTAAACAATTTCCAAATTCGCAGATATGCCTACAGAGAAAGTAAAGCTGGGTTTACACTATCTAGACAATTCACTCGTTAAGGCTTCACAGAGCGGAATAGACGATTCGCTCGTTAAGGCTTCACAGAGCGGAATAGATGATTCGCTCGTTAACGAACTAACTCTTCAGAGAGGGGACGCTAATGATTCGCACGTTAACAAACTAACTCTTTAGAGAGGGGACGCTAACGATTCGCTCGTTAACGAACTAACTCTTCAGAGAGGAAACGCTAACGATTCGCTCGTTAACAAACTAATGCTTTAGAGGGGGCGCTAACGATTCGCTCGTTAACGCTTCAGCGAGGGGACGCTAACGATTCGCTCGTTAACGCTTCAGAGAGGGGACGCTAACGATTCGCTCGTTAATGCTTCAGAGAGGGGACGCCATTCGTCGGGGATTCCTCTTATCTGCGTCTTCTGTCGGCATACGCGCGGTGAGGATTCCGCTCTGTGAAGCCATAACGGGCGAATCCCGTCCCCTCCCTGAAGCGATAATTATATATAACGAGCGAATCGTCTTGTTACGCCGTCAACTTAAGCTGGGTCTACACTGCCGACTTTGTGTTGGCGAATTGGCGAGTTGGACCAATTTCCCAATTCGGCAACTCTGAGTTGGCGAAAATAGAACGTGTTCTAATCTCCCAACTAGTTGCTATCGATCAGTTGGTCGCACAACTTTTGCGTTTACACTGCCGATTATCGGTTGTATAGTTGGGAAGTTGGTCCAATTCGCCAATTCGCCAATTAGGGGAATGGCGTGGATTTTGAGTGTAGACGAATTGGGTGTAGGCCAACTGGGAGTTTTGCTATAGACGAAATGGGAATTTTGCCGTAGGCGAAATGATGAAGTTACACCTCCTCCCGGGTCCACACCTCCACAGTAAAAGCAAATGAGTACGCTGCATTCGTGCGCACGCGCAAACAACCGTAAACAATTTCCGAATTCGCAGATATGCCTACAGAGAAAGTAAAGCTGGGTTTACACTACCGACTTTGTGTTGGAATTTTGTCTACCATTTTACATCTTTACAACTGATTATGAATTTATCCAATTAATTTTAGCAACTAGGTGCATATAGCAATGTGTGATTATATGTGAGTTTACTAGCATGTTGTTCTCTCCTTAACGGCTTTATATTCAATTATGAATTCATCCAATTAATTTGAGCAACGAGGTGCATATAGCAATGTGTGATCCTACGTGATTTTACTACCATGCTGTCTCTTCTTTCTGGCTTTATATCCGATTATAAATTCCGATCGCCAACAGCGACAGGAGTACGTTAAATTATTAAAACAGCAGTAAATTATTGAAATTATGACGACGACGATGATGATGATGATGCAAGGACATCACAGAACATTACA